CGACGTCGTTTCGTTTCGTTCAAATTATTTCCAAAGTATTAACCAACCGAGTTCTAACACAGAGTTAAAACTTACTGCATTCGGGTGCAACTTTGGCTAAACTGCATGTAAATATGCAAGCAGCTACATTACAAAGTATCCTCTTGTACTAAAATACAAGAATAATAAGGATATTAATAACCGAAACGTAGGAGAAATCCAATCTACACTTTTAATTGGGAGGTCGCGAATTTTGCTGATTTCTTCGTAGCCGGAAAACGGCAAGAAACTTCTTGAAAATTAGTTCCCGTTGATTTTCTACATTAATTACTTCGTACTTTCGAATTCCCAGAAGCAAGATGAAATATGTTCAATTTCGCTGAAGTTTTAACTCGGCCGTTCATCAAATCCGGAAGAGACCTTCGCGAAATTCGATTATTTCGAACGAAGAAAGCCGTTCCGAATCAGCTTTTCTCCGTGCTAATTGTCACGGCTACGAGGTCTCGCAAATTGAATTAGCGCGTACGGGACATCCCATTCGGAGCCCGCAGATTTTCTGACACTCGATAATGCGATCGCCAATTACAACGTAAACTTGGTCATGGTCGCTCGCTCCTAATCGAATTATCTTCCAGCATGGAAATCCGATGCATTATCTTTTTCTGTCAAGCCGACATTGAAGAGTGAGCTGTCTTGCTGTGTACTCGATTCGACCTGATCGCTGCCATTTTTTGCAAAATTCCCCTCCGGGACACTCGTGATTTGTCGCTCGATTATCTGTTTCGAAGAATCTTTGCTCAGAAAATTCCATAGCTTCGGTGTCGTTCTACGATAATTCTTTTTATTAATTTTGTCAACGCTTGGGGTGAGCTATTTATTTTTATTCAGATGTTCGATGCAAGATTTTCAAGTGAAGTTTGCATTTAAATCCAGAAGAGTACGATAGGTAAAATTGGTTAATAGAATATTTAAAGTCGAGGCAATTTCGTATGTTCGACACTTGCACGACCTCGCTCTCAATGCATCACCGCATGATGCACATGCACTTCAGTCTCCTCGCAATTGCATGCTCATTTCCCATTGGCAGTCGAGGCGTGCTCGATTTATGGTCTACTATTACTGTGTCGGTTCGCTTCTCCGACTGCAATTTTTATCTGCTTTATTCGCTTGTAAAATCGATGAAGTCGTCGAAAGTTCTATGACATGTAGCTAACAGTGATTTAATTAAAGTTAAGCTCCATCTATTTCAATCATCTTTTCCAGGGATTTTTGGAATCTCTTGAAAATCCGAATTCTGGGCTCCATCATCGTCCTCCGTCTTGCTTCTTCACCGATATTCAGCTCTTAAACTGGTACAGAGCTGATATTTTAGAAGTCATAAGACTTTATGGAAGGGTGCATGGTTTTTCACCGCGGTAGCTCGAGTTCGTTTTTCGAAACCGTTAATCCACCGGTCGAAAACGATCGATGCAGCTGTAAAACGAGACCTGGTCCCAGGATCGTCTTACGATACTTGATTTGTGTCTTGTTTCGCAACGGTGCGTTTACATGAATTCATAGACCGATGCAGGTGATACAAACTCAATAAATAAATGGAATAAATAGAACTCAAAAGTAAATTCGAGTTCACATTCCCTCCACTATTCAGTTTCTTTAAAATCTTATGTTTGAAGTAAAACATCAAATTCAAGAATATGACATTCGTAGAACTACGTGATTATTGGATTTCAAAATTCTGAATATAAAAGAGACCCTTTCTTAACAAGAAGCACAAGAGTCTTGAGATAAAAAGAGATCCCAGAATAGCACAGTTAGGAAAAAGCATCGACCCTAGGAAATGGAAGAAGACATAAAACAGTGTGCTGAGGTATCGAAGAATCCAAGAAGACTCAAAATCGCGTGGTGAACACAGTGAACTTCGAGGGCATTGGTAAAACCAGTTGCAGCAATCCAATTGAGATGAAATAGGCTTTATGTAACGTAGGTGAGTGCGAGAAACCGTACAGACGATCACAAAGGATGTATGTGCAGTTTGCATCTGGTCAGCATTCTCCAATTTCAAGGTTATGTGTACTCGTTACGTAAAAGTGTTTACACCATTATAAAATCCGGGGATCTCTTCAAACTTCTACACTTGTATACTTTACAATTAGATAATTAATATGATGTATAATAATTGTCTACGTAATTCTACATAATTCTCTACAATAATCTGCAATAATTATTTACTGTACTTCTGTGCTGACCAAATTGAACTTATATGTATTACTTCACGAGTACATAATTAATATGATATATGTATAATAATTCTCTACGTAATTCTACATAATTCTCTACAATAATTTACTACAATAATCTGCAATAATTATTTACATACTTCTATGCTGACCAAATTCAGCTTACTCGTACCTACACACCTTCGACCTTTCTTAATATTTGATCCTTGCTAAATCCTAGTTTTACTTGCGACTAAGTTACTTTACTTGTAACTATAAGATAATTCGAATAAAAAGCGATTCGTAAATGCAGCGAACTCCGAGAGGATTCCCAGGTGAGAACTGAAAGCGTTTCCCAGCTCGTTCGATCGAAATTACCTAAACTGCGTGTCGAATCGATGTTCCTCGATTCCATTCGAGAAGCATTGACCTATTCTATTGGTTCGACGTCACCGACGATCGTGTCGAGGCGAGACTGAATAGAAACGGGGCGTCGCTCGATCGATGATCCATCGATCAATGCCTGACCGAGCAGTGGGCCATCAGCTTCCAGCAAAGAGTTGACTAGACTTAACCGTTGTCCTATAGTACAATGGTAGTACTTTAACCGATAAGATCGTGTAGCTGTTCGGCAGACTGCTTGATTAATTAGGAGACTTCCAGCGACACTATGCTATCTCGCCGTTTAATTAATCGATTACGGGTGCTCAGGATACTCGTTGCGACCGTTCGTTTGGAAACCTGCCAGTTTTCCAAAGAAAATCTAGCTTAAGAAAATTTCTTATCATCCTACATCTTTCTCTTTAAACTCCTTTCATAATATCAGGTAAAAAGCACTTTAATTTGAAAAAATTATAAATGAAGATGTATCTATGTGGATCGTATTGAATGTCTAGAAGTAATAGTCAATCAGATCTATCAAGAAGTACCACCGTTTGTTGGCAGTTTTGCGAATTATCATAGGGTGAAAGATTACAAGGTTCTCTTTAAAGTCCTTTCATAATATCAAACAGGTAAAAAGCACTTCAATTTAAAAAAATTATAAATGAAGATGCATCTATGTAGCTCTTATTGAATATCTAAAAATATATACAATCAAGATTTATTGAGAGGTACCACCGTTTGTTGGCAGTTTTGCGAATTATCATAGGGTGAAAGGTTACAAGGTTCTCTTTAAAGTCCTTTCATAATATCAAACAGGTAAAAAGCACTTCAATTTAAAAAAATTATAAATGAAGATGCATCTATGTAGCTCTTACTGAATATCTCAAAATATATACAATCAAGATTTATTACGAAGTACCACCGTTTGTTGGCAGTTTCGCGAATTATCATAGGGTGAAAGGTTACAAGGCCAGACAAGTGAAAACAAGTTAACAAAAATATTCAACCTAATCTGTATTTCATCAGTGTTGCGTACCTAACGTATGGCACGTCTTATGTCATCGTGAAACTATCAAGCGACGTGTGTTGTGTCCGGACTCGTAACGTGTGCGTGATTCTGTTGCAAGACTGAAATGGATCAGGCCATGTGACCTTCTAGCCTGCTTTGGTGTAACTCGTTCTGGCTAGTGACCCAATTCCTTATGGTCTCGATACAATTTGGACATTGATGTTATAAGCAGATGTGTTTGAATCGATAATTAAAACGGTGGTATGGGAGGGTTCTGAAGTTGTAGCTACAGCCAAATGACTACGTCACGAAATAATCGTAATCGCATTTATCGAGATAATGTAACTGCGGATTTAGCGCATAAAAATTAGAAATAAAATTATTTAGTAATTAGTAAATCTTTGGATGAGAAGGTTTTCTATTTTGAAAATACCGCCACAATAGGGAGATGTCACCATCTAGCGATGTCTATGAAACTTAGGCTCTTTGCAACGCATTTTTTATGATTTATTATATTTCGAATCTCCTGAATCAATAATAAACTTTGTTGACGATATCAAAGTTAAATAAAGATAATATTAAATATAATATAGTATGAAAAATGTGTAACACCAGCACCGGTATATCTAAATGTTACAGACGGTGTCATCTGACACCACAACGCTGAACTGTGATGCTCTGAGTATGTGAATTGTTCTGAACACATAATTCACATCTTTGGACCCACAGAATACATTGCAAACAGCATAAAATCATTATTAATGAATATATATTAACATATAGCACAAGTTTATAGTATATTAATTAATAAAATCAACATTAATTGAATTTAAAAAAAAAATCTTTGGAATACCGTGGCGCCATCTCTTCGGCGAACGGGGTGAACTACACACTTTTGAAACACTACTTTAATTAGTTCTTATTTTTACCGCTAGGGGGCGCACACGGGCCGCCCCCTGGTGGCAGCTCGAGGAACTAATGAAGCTGCTGTTTCAAAACCGTGTAGTTCACCCTGTTCGCCGGAGAGATGGCGCCACTTGTTCGATTTTTTTTTTAATTTAATTAACATCGATTTTATTAATTAATATGCTATATATTTATTATATAATTATTCCTATTAATTCTATGCTGGTTGCAATATATTTCATGGGTCCGAATATACGAATTATCTGTTGAGAATATTTTGCATGATATACACTATGTGTCCTATCGGTAATATAGATAATATCGTTGAAATAATAAAAATTTTTCGTTTGTGCAACCAAAAACCGTTCTCACAGTTTCTTTTTGAAAAAAAAACCTACTGAAGAAAATTTGACCAGAATCGAAATATAACAGTATTTCGAAGTATCCTCTGACTCTCCTTCCCTTCTTCCTTCACTGTCAGATGGTGCTAAATGTTTAGTTTGCAGTTTGCCAGTGCTGCTATTCGTCAGTCGTAATAAAGATTAGCAAAGAAGGCGACAGACAGTAGACGACTGAACGATGCAAGCGAATTTACCGAAAATTGGCCAATTTGGCCATGCCTTTAGACGGGGAATTGTACGCCCTGCTAGCGAAGCTCACACACCCGGTGAAGGTAAGATTTCTTTTAATACAGGGTTTCAAGAAAATGTCAAAAACGTTGAAAACGTTTCTCAAGATCTTTTACGTATTTGCAAGATTTCGTTACTTATACGTTTCTGATACATTCTAGAACAACTTTAAAATATTACATGAAATTATAAATGATAACGATGTTCATTTTTTGTATTTCTTTTTGTTGTGTGTTAAAAACAATAGCGTTACTACATGTTAAGTATATGTTATGTAAGATCATTTACAAGTAACTACAATTTTAGCCGGTGAAAAGATGTGGAGGAACATCACACTTTTCGTGGGACTTCCTTCGCTAATACTTTCATCAATTAATTGTTACTTACAAAAGAATGATCACCCGCCACGACCAGAAATTATTGATTATCCATATATGAAGATTCTGAACAGGGTAAGAAATAGAAAATAAATAAAAAACCAAAGTTAGATTTAACTAATTTTGTTTCTAATACAGCCTTTTCCATGGGGAGATGGTAAACATTCATTGTTCCACAATCCAAAAACGAATTATATACCTGGAATTGGTTATGAAGAATAACTGCTTATCAAGATTAACAGTATAGAATTTATAGTCTGTGGTACTGTGTAAATGATAATCTGTATTTCTTGTATTGTGATAAAGAGAATAAACAAGATACAAATATAAATAAATAAATAAACAGGACAATTGTAATACAAAGAAAATAGTAACTATTAAAAAGAAAATTACCTACCTCGATAATAACATAACAACAGATAGATTTAAATAACAAAACCACTTGGCAGAATTTATTTTGTACATTTAACTATGATAATTATGTTATGTTTACATTGAAATGTATTTTTATGAAGAATAATAATTTATGAAAGGCGCTTATATAAAAAAAACAATATCTTAAAACAAAAGCAGCAACAATAAATACTGTTTAACATAACATTGTCATGATAAAAAACATTATATTTTGGTAGATAAACGTGTAGACTAAAGAATAGTCTTAACTTAAATTACAAATATACACTATTTTCTACAGGCTTACAATCTTGATAATGTTCCTCCCAATGTAACCTCAAACATTCTTGAGAACAATAATTAGCTTCTAAACAAACTGAACATGTTACTCTACTAGGTTTACTACAAGTTAAACACACTTTCATCTCTTCTTCTATAATGTTTCCTTCTGAATTATTCATATGAGTATCACTAATTTCTTCCATTTCCTCAAATGCTTCTAGTGTTATACTCCTCACATCTGCAATATGCGATACAGTAATTCCTTCCAATGAACTATTGCTTATATTTTCGTTGCTAAATTGTTTAGTATCATCTAAAGTTTTTGGTGAATGTACTTCTAAGAAGTTTTCGCAGGTATTATTTTTTGAACATGATGACGCAGAAACATTATGTTTGGTCTCCTCTACTTCTTCACACTCTTTGGGTTGTGCAGGTACTGATTTAATTTCTTTATCTTCAGTCTCATCAACTGCATTAGTATCAATTACTCTTACTTCATAATTGTGCGAAGAAATTTGTACAGTCACTAAATGTGGATTTGACTGTTGCACTGTATCCTTGTGAAATGCATTCAAATTAGATATTATTGGCACTTCTGTGTTATTTGTGTAAGGAACATTATGAATTATCTTTACGCAGTTACTTAAATTTTCTTCATTCGTTAAGTCTGGATTTGGCTGCTGCAATGTATTTTTAGGCAGTTCTTCTGAATTAGGTATTACTGACACTTCTTTCTGGATTACGTAAGGAATATTATAAATTATTTTTATATGGTTATTTAAATTTTGTTGACTTAAGTCTGTAGTACCTTCTGCTTTTTGTTTGATATTACTATCTAATGTCTTTTGTGTTTCTAAATTTGACGTAACTATAGATTGCTCATTTTGTACTAAAGTTTGTTCAGTTTGTTTATTCCGCTGTATTCCTTCATTCTGTAATGTTTCTGATTCTTGTGGTTGATTTGGAAGCTGTTTATCTGGTAAGTTACCAGTTACATTTTGTTCGTTTTCAAATTGATCTTTGGATGTTAAAGTAATCAAGTTCCTTTGACATGGCACATTAGACCTATTCGTATTTCCTATCTTACATTGCTCTGCTTCTGTGTTAGATGTACTAACCGGACAATGTATTTCTTCACTTCTTTGTACATTTATTTGGGCCTCTTTCTGAATATTATTTTCAGTATTTATAAGTATGTTATTCTCAAACATATTCGACTGAGACATATTCGGTGAAATATTATTTATTGTGTTTTGTACAAAGTGTTTTAAGAGTGTTTGAAAATGAAGCAACAAGGATCGTTGTGAATGAATAATTTGCCATTGCCTGGTTGTAAATTGTTGTTGCAACCACGTCGTACAACCGAAGTAAAAATTTATTTGTCTCAGTAATATAATCTTTTGTATGTCAGAAAGATTCCTTAGTACACCAAATTGTTTCACTGTTGATTCTAATGAGATTTGAGAGGTACTTTTCTGTTTGTTTTGGGACTGTGTCTGTTGAAGTAATGGTGGTGGTACTTGTTTAGAAGTTACTTTATGTGGAACCTGTGCTTGCATTTGTACGTTTTGGCGTGTTTCATTTCTTTGTGTATATTTTGGCACATGTTTCTTAGATTTAGGTGCACTTGGTACAAAATTATTTGGTACAGTTTGTGTTGTAGGATTTACCACTGGTATATTTTGAGGCATTTGTGGCATATTTTGTGGCTGGACTTCTTGAGGCATATAAGCAGTTTGTCTGTGCATTGAGCTTTGAAACTTGGATTGACTCATGCAAGGGACATTTCTTACATTTTGCTCACGTACTTGAGTCGCAGTTTGCTGTATACAATAGCTTGCTGCATTTACATTACCATATGCGTTTGATCCTAATAAATAACTATATAAAAACGGCGCACTTGCAGCTTGATTGTATCTAATACCAGTTTCATTCGGATTAACTAATAAAGGCGTTTGTTGTACAGGAATAGAATGTTGCCTAACAAAATAAGGAGGAGGAGGTCCCCGATGCCGATATTGAGTTTGCAATGGTGTTATAAAGTTGGGCTGTTGTATACCATAATTAGTAGCAGTAGAGTTCATTGGTACATTATTTTGCATAAGATTGTTTTGTGGTTGCACGGACGCCTTTTCTTTAAGATTTGTAGAAACTGGAGTTTGTGCAATACAAGAAGAAAATACGTTTTGAAGCACATTTTGTACAGATGTAGTGCTTTGTAAACCTTGAGAATTGTTATACACAGTATGTTTGGTTGTCATATTTGAAATGATTGTAGGAATGGTATTCTGATATCCATTAGAATTTTCTTCTTGTGATTTGTGAAGAAATAACGACTTAAATAATGGTATGTAATGAAGTAATTCTTTTAAAGTTAACGGTTGATTTACTAACAGTTCTTTGTTAAGTATGTCTATGACTGCACTTATCAAATTAATATGATCTTCGCTATTCAATATTTTTCGTAAATTTTCAAATTCTTTCAGCAGTGTTTTACTATGATCTACGCGGGTTGCACGAATACTTACAATTAAATGATATATATGTACTAAACCATTATATATAGCCTCTGAAAATTTTGGATCCATGTTGCTCTTTTTCAAATAAGTAGAAGAGTTATCGCCAAGATTTGGTGCATTTGCAGTTGTGGTAATTACTAGTATTTTCGTAGGTGCAGCTTGCGTTACTATCGAAGATGAGGATACTTGATTACTGGTAGTATACGTTAAACCAGTATCTGACGTTACAACTGTATTTGTACTTGATAATTCAGAGGTAGTAGAAATCACAGGATTTACAGGTGTAGGGCACCACCTAGAACCTAATTCTGCACTGGATAGAACCCTTAATTTAATTCTAGGAACATTTTTAGGTTGAGTATTCTGGCTTTTTTCTTTAGAATCCGACATTGCAGTTTCCTTCTTTTCTTCCGCTACGACGTTGCTGCTCTCCGATTCCGTTGCTTTCTCTTCTACCAAGTTTGATTCAGAATTTGGCAATGATACTTTATCCTTCTGTTCTATAACACTATCTAATTTGATGTTTGACAATGCTATTTCATTCGTGTCACTCAACAGATTGCACAAATTTATCCTTACTGGAATAGTTTTAACGCCATTCCTTACATCAAGACATAATGTATCCTTCGAAGGGCTACCGTTCATAATGCTCGGCGCTTGTTCATCAAGACTTTGGTTGCAACTTGCAAAATTCAATTGCAAATCTTCATTGGTATCTTTATTACAAACATCTTGATTGTCGTTTGTCGCATCCTTTTCTCTAATACTGAGGACATTTCCGTTTGACGTAACCTGACAAGTTTCGTTGAAATCCATGTCTAAAAGTTTGCTCAAATCTCTCAAATCCGAACCACATGTTGCAGATTGTGGAACGTCTGCGGATATGTCTGCATCGCGGTTAAAATCGCACGTTTTTGGAGTACTACAAGGCGATACATTATCTGCGTCAGTATCGTCTAATATAGGAAGATCAGTATTTGACTTCTTATCTTTCGAGGACGTTTCTATACTATTTAATACAGTTGTACTCTGTACCAAGTTATTGTTACAAAAAGTACTATTTTTATGAACTTCTTTATCGTTTCCTGCTTCGCTCACATTGCATTTGTCATTTGGTGATTGCTTATCTGTGTTGTTAACGTTCTCAACGTTATTTAGCTTAACATTATCATCGCTCGTAACATTTTTTATCGCATCCGCTTCTATCCTGCTAAGCGACGAATCTTCACTGACGTCTTCGTGCATCGTAGAATCGGGCACAGCTTTCTGAATGTCCCTTAAAATCTCTATGCTATTGTTATTAACTGTGTTTACCTCGCTGAAGTAAACTCCTGAATCACACGAGTCAACAGAATCCTTCTTGCGTCTTCGTTTACACCGTTTCTGCAAAATATACTGCTCCTGTTCATCCTCGCTGACACTTCCACAGTCGCCGAAACACGATCGGAATTTGTACCTTATGCTTTTCGCCATTTTCCTATCGAGTTCTCTTCGTTCGTCAACGGACGTTCGGATCTTTTTTATTTTTAGCTCAATGCTCATCGTTGTCTCGCATAAGTGTCTTTTATGTAGATTATCTTCTATCCTCGTTGTCTTATCAGTCGCCACATTATCGCCTTGCTTAGCGCGTTTGTTTTGATGCGATACAGAATCTTGGACCCTCGTATACTTCGTGTCCGACTCTTTGTGGACATCAGACTTTGCATGACTTCTTTTATCGGAAGAAGACTTCAAATTCAACTTTATACGATTCCTTTCAGTTCGAACGGGCCTGTAGACTATGTCCTGGCCCACCTTATCACACGTCAAGTCAGAAATTGCTTCGGTTCGCGTCTTTCCACCGTCGATAACTGGAAATTGCGTCTCTTTGATACACATGGACTTTTCCTCCGTGTTATTATTCATCGCGTCGTTTTTGTTTTGCGATTTGAACGCGTCAGCTGCCGATATAATGACGGAAGATCGTTTACTATTCATATTGACTATATTTGCAGACAAGGTGCAATCTACTTTCTCTAAAGCCTTATCAAACGAATACGACTTTGTTCGGTGCCCTAACTCACAACTTTCACTCGACATCGATTCGCTGCTGCTCGATATTTCTACTTTTATTTTTTCGTCGCGTTTCGTGTCCTCTTCAATGCCTTGTGTGCTGTCTGGTGTTTGTGTATCCTCATCGTGCAGTTCTGGTTGTCGATCGAGAAACGCAACTTCTGTTTTAACGACGATCGGTTTCTCATACTTTTCTAACGACTTCCGCCTGAAACACAAACATGGTACACGATTAAAATTGTGCGACAATTATGTCGTTAAGACAATGAATGGATCGATCTTCCAATTCGATTTTTATGAATCACTTTTCTAACCATTGGCGTAGGATTATTCGTTTGAATGTATACACTCTCTCAATATTATGTTATCCAGTTTATCATCAATTAAAAGCAAATTACTAAAGCAATGACAAGAAACTAATCGCTGCGATTAAAAACTGGATTAGAACGTCACACTTTTGCGAGTACCTTGATATCTCTTTTTGCAAGCAATCGATATTTTTAATTTTCAAGTTTTTTATTCTATCTTATGTTTCATCATAAATAGTAATGTTGAAAAATTATTGAGTACTTTAACACGTTTTCTGACGCGTGACTAGATAACAAATTTTACTTGAAACTGGAGGAAGACACCTTAGAAGAAAATAAATGGACGCAATCAGAAATTGCGCGCAACTTTTGAATCCATGTTCAGACATGTTTGAATGTTTTGATTTAATTCATTTACTGATAACGAGTTGCACGAACGGATTGGTACGTGTAATTATCTGTATGATTCATTGCTATTTATTTACATTTAGAAATTGACCATAATGCACCGTATGTGGTTAGTTATTTATATTTTTACTAAAGTGCAACATACAGAATTTTCCAGAAAGCGGCAATATAACGAGAGATTATTACATTATCCCAAATAATTTGAATATTTATATTTTTGAAAACAAAATTAATGACAATTACATGTACATAAAATTACTCGACTTTCACCACAATTGTTAAGATCATTAAAATAATGTACTCTACAAAATTAGCACACAATTATGTCGATATCATACAGGAAATGACATCCGTTTGAAAACAACTCTTGTCTGGTACTTTATGAATGAGAAATTGTGAAGATAACGTTGACTGCCACGTCATGTGGGTGATTCTCGAATGTACATACAAATTCGTCATCTACACTGTTACGAGTTATTTATCTAATAAAAAATATACTTGATATACCGTAATATACTTGAAATTAATTTCACCATATTATTAAACTTCCATCAGTCTTTCTACGATATACAAGATATCAAATTCTATGAAAAATAAATGCGACACCATGTAAATGTGACGCGTGCTTCAACACACAGCAACTGAACGAATTGAATAACGTCAACACAAACATCCAACGTTCAAATTTTTTCTTGGACACCGCAATTCAATAAATTACAAAAACCGTAACCATAACCCTGTGCAAACGTTCCGCAAGTATAATGAAACACGTAATGACGTAAAGTTACCTCCTGTACGCGGTGTGTCGCCAAAGGATCACTCGCGGTTTCGTCGCTAGCTGCAACAATCCTTTGCGCACCTGGCTACGCGACAGTCCAAGATTCTCTAGATCCACTTTCAGCTGAAACAATCGTGCCCGTATTTTACGTTTAAATTCTTCCTCCATGTTCACGAAAATTGCTGAAAGAACATTGGAAAGAGGAAAACAGAAGACAGGAGCCTCCGACGTAAAACATTTTTTGTTTACATTCACATTCGTTTGTTTCAACCTTCATGCCACAAATGCAATAAAACAGTCATTCCGCAAACGGTTAGTTTTCGTTAGGATTACAAAAAAAGCATTTTTACGTTTCTTTGACGTATGAGAGAAAATTCACACCTTTGTCAGCACTTCGCGACGACCAGCTTCTCCTTTGTCGCGAAGCCACTGTTTGAACACGAGGTTGTCGTACTTCGTTGGCGTAACGCGTTCCGATCGCGTGCTTTCTGACATCTTGCGAGCGCGGCAATCGCTCTTTAAGGACGCCCTTGTTTCTCGTCACTGGTGAGTCCTCTAGTGTAGTCAGGACATTACCGAGTACCGCGTTGGCTGCGATCGGGCGACAACACGCTTCTATGATTCAACGATATATTCATACGATCTGTTTATTCTCGCCTCGCCGATTACTTCGTATTTTATTTTCACTCGATCTCTTTAGAATCACACGCTTCTCGTATTTGAAATCGTCAGTTACAGTTCTCTGTTCGCATTAGCTGCAAAGTGATTTTCAAAGTTATTGCCTTTGAATTTGCTGATAAATTAATACTTCTATTTTAGAGCAATATACGAAAACGTAATTATTATCTCGTAATACATCATTTGAAAGATTAGCAGCGTCTCGCCACTCCGCGTCCAAAGAAATTAAAGATTAGATTAACGGTAAGAATACTCGTAACAATACACAATTTTATATCTCGATATTGCTATTTGCGAGTTGTAGTTTGTAAGAAGAAATATGTCGAATATGCAACGTACAGAGATCGGTAACTTGATCGAAATGCGCGTCAGCGAGTTCTTCGCGTGGGTCTGGAATGTGGCTTCCGTACTTCGAGATGGTTCATTCCGTAGGCTCACGACTTTTGAACTGACTCGGGTACTCGGTCGCAACCGATATTTAAGGAGGGTTTTATCGTCACTAAATGGGTGGGGGAACGTAACAAGTGCTCCGATTCTAAAGGATGTTTGTCGAATATAAGATATCGCCTTCGTATTAGCAAAAAAGGGTGCGTTATCTGCAATAAGCTTGTTTATCCTAGATAAGGATTTTTTACCCCCACTTTTTTCAATACATTTGTGTTGCGCATTTCAATGCTAACGTAAATTAGAATGAATCACCCTGTTGTGTTTTTTTTTTTAAAGGCTATGCTTAAGGTCAGATACACATGTTGCTGATTTATTCGACTTGTACTTACAAGACAAGAAAGTTTTTTCTCTGATTTTGACTTTGTACTCGAAACTTTGTACGTTTGTTAAGCAAGAAAAAATAAGGGACACGAGTATTCAACTCTACTTCACTATTAATGGGTGTTTCTCTTTTATCCACAGAATTAAAAGCTATGAACGGTAAAGTTTAATAAATTGATATAAACCATAGTGCCAAGAAGATGTTATACCACAGTAGTCTGAGCGAAGCGTCTTGAATGCAACTTTTCATGAAAATAAAGAAATCGCCACTTTTTTCCTTTATATATGCGCTTATTGCGACGCGATTGACGCACAACCATGAACTTGTTGAGAGCATCAGATATAAATAACAAAAATCTCTGGAACATTACCAGTCGAAAGAGCAAAATATAAAACTTGTTTTTCATTTTTTAATTTGTTTAAACTATTTGTAGCTGGATTTTATTTTGGTACAAGGAAAAATAAAAACTATCATTTCAAGACAAAACAGCTCTATTATTAAATTCTTGCAGAGGGAATTGGTTTTGGTCATTATGCAAATTTGAATAAAATAAGGTTACCAAAATTTGTTTGTTATAAATTTTGCACAATTTTTTAGCAACTTATTATTATACGTAAAAAACCATCCAACTTTCATATTAGAAGTTTTAATGTATCTCGTATGGTTTTCGAGATAGAAACGTTTCACCCTCAATAAAAAAATATATGTCCCCTATTTTTGCTTGTTTAACGTAAAGTTTCATCGCTTCCGTTTCCTTGTTAGTTTGAGATGTCTGTTTCACCTTTAACATTTTCGTGCAGGTAAATAATGTTAAAAGAGTAGTCAATCGGTACTCGGCTTTCGAAGACTAGTTTCGCCCCACAGGTATCGAAGGACTTTATGATATGGCAATAAATGTTAATCATGGCCGGGTCATAAAGGTAGCGCGCTAAATATTTGGGGTTTTCCTGTCATAAAACGGCACCTTCAAATGCTCTGTTTAAAAACTATAGAAAATTTGTGAACACTCAGGATTTAGGTCAAGAAAAAATGACCTTGCCATGGCAACAAACCGTTCAGCCTTTGATCCTTCAAGTATTCAGATGTGGCTACAGTTAGGGTCTGGGACTCTACGTTTACATTCTCTACAAACAATAGCACTCAAATTTTTTAGTGGGTTCCTAGATCGACTTAGATAACATCTTCCCAAATTCCTAGAAACATCCTTGTATAGCCTGGCGGGGAGTCCTTAAATAAGAACGCCAAGCGACACAGTTCCTGTAACCTTGAAGATGCAGTTCTCTAGATTTTAAGTATTTTTTTTATATTAAAATTCTGCAAGTTGCTGCTGCAATAATCGACTATTTTATTTTATTCATCATGTAACAATTAATTGTTATTGTAATTATTGATAAATTTTTCTATAATTCTAGATATGATTACAAGTGGTGTAATGATTCAGTTAGATACTTTTAATTGTTAAAAACGCAAGCACTGAGGATTATATAAGCATTTCAATCTTATCAAGTGTATACGATTGTAAACGATACATAAAACAGTAAGGGTCTGAATTTATAGTTAATCCTGGATCACTTCGGCGAATCGAGGGTCTTATCTGCACGAGGCTGCATTGTGGAAGTGCACATGAGTGAAACCATAAGTTTATCTTATCCATACTCTCGATTTTTCTGCAGGATACTGCGAATATAATCTTACATAATAGGCACATATTTCTACTTTTAAAAACTGTGCCATGGAATAGCGAGATAGTTTATTACAATAAATTTTATAAATATTTTACAATCACAAGTTGGATGAAATAGCTATAGTAAAAATATTAAAAATAATACGAAATGTTTATAAATATTTTAAGGCTTAAAAATATGATCAAATGGTTTAAAACATACCATAAATGAAAGGAATTAAAATAAGATAATGTCAGTCACCAGTTAACACATTAACTGAGACAAAAATTTAATGGATTAATTTTTAAATTAATATAACACGAATATTTTAACTTTGCCTTTTTTTAAATGTTTATACAGAAAATTCGAGGCGTTGGTCATCGATGTCCGCCATGATGCGTTGAAGATTAGATAGCCAGAATTTTCAAGTTTCAATGTCTAAAATAATTTGAAGATTTCTTAAACTCTTGATTGTTTGCTTGGTAACAAGTTTCGGATGAAAAATACCCTTCTAAAAATATTTTCTTCTTGCCCTATTAACTTATAATAATTTAAAAATTGTAAGTTAATTTTACAAACTGACTACATTTTACAATTTATCAGAGATAATAATTTTATCGTCCAAAGTGATCTACGATATTACATTTCAACTGCGTTCATAACAGTACAGTCTTATACCAAACGTTGACAAAACCAAATTACGCGCAAATTCTAAGAAGAATATCGATCCTATATTTTGAACCACGGTATAAAAAGAGTTTCGCACTATTATCCGTAAACGTTACACTCGTTCGAAAGCGCAGTTTGTACTAAACACGAAGAACCGCGTACTCTGCTGTTTATATAAGGTCATCGCGTTATCATCACGGTGAATTTAACCAAACTGCTTTTATCTTCCACTTTACGCCAATAGTCTTTCTCCATACTTGTTTGTACAATCGTAGTTGTACTTTGACCGAACAATCTACTTATGACAGATATTGCAATAATGATTAATATAGACAAAGAACAACGCGCAGAGGCAAATCTGTTTCTAGAAAGTACGGATATTATGCGTAGCGAACTTGAGACGATTAGTCACTGATGGTTAAACACGTAATATGAACAATGCTGCGTAAATACTATTCAAATCGACTCACTCTTCATTTGACATCAACCCTCACCGACTTTCTTTTATATATTTCAGCCTTTCTTTCCTTTTTTTATGTCTATTGATTCCATATTACCCTTTTTCCTTTTCGACAATTTTCTTTGGGTAGACAGTATTTGTGTATGCAGAACCTTTTCACTTGACCAAATGTCTGATTAGAAAGGTTTCCATTTTCTAGGTTAGGATATATTCAGACTCACTTTGAATTTTCTATCAAGCTTTCCTATTTTTCCATTTACCCCACTGATTTTTCTATCAAAACTTAAGTAAGGTTAGGATATTGTCACCCTGCTAGTCTTGATCGGAGTATATTCTTTAAAATTTAAACAAATAACAAAAGTGTAGGAATTGTGTAAACAAAATAAATGTAACAAATTAAATGTGCCTCTGCTGAACAATGTTAATAAAAATTTATGTTATATTCGATATCAATTTTTATGTTAATGTATTATGTTAATAAATAATTACGTAAATAGGAGTACGCGTTACTCTTGCAAATTGGAAGGGGCCAAATGAGACCCCGCTCCCTCCCCCGCATACCTGAAGAAACTAACTCATATAAAGGTTGCGCCCCCGTTCTTAATAGCAGTCTCGATTTTATCGTCAGTTGCATTATCACTCTTTCAGTGAAGTAAGTAAATTTTAATATTCAGTGGTTTGCCTTTCAAAATACAATGTTGAATAATTTCTAGTTCTTCAAGATTATGCATCAGAAATCGTAATCAAATATGAAGATTTATCGGAAGGTTATGTAACAGTGACGTTAGTTGCAAACGAAGGTGAATGTCGATACAAAGTTGAGTGGAGTGATACATATCAGAGAAAATTATAAATCAGAAGTATGTTTTATACATTTTACAGTATTTAAAAGTATTCGAAGTTCAACAATTTTGCGTTAAAATATTTCGTTGTCGATATTAAGAATGAAATAAAAAGTTGTAAAATGAGATTGGTAAAACCATCGATAAATAGATAAAATTTTGCGTGGAATTAGAGATAATACGTTTTATCGCGATGTATATCTATAAATTCAAGTACAAATGTACTCATTCTTACTTTGGAAACACCAATTTTTTCAAATAATTTAGAACAATTACAAATAATTAAAGCATGTAGAAATAAAGCAAACATTGTAAAATTTTTATCAAACAAAAAAGAGTAAGGTTAGAATAATTTTCTAATATTAATATAAACAATATTTTGAAAACAATTTACTGACAAAAATTGTATAACATAAAAGCAACTAAATGTTGTAAACTTTACTTGTACCCACTGACGTAATTAAAATTTTTATCCAACAGAGGTCAAGATTCTAAGGAATGTTATTTTTTTATTTTTAATTGCTATTCATAAGGTAAGAAGACTAGTTCACATTGTATGGGGTAAGAAAATTCTTGTCCCTGATGGTCTAAGACCCCCTGGTTTATCACCTTGTTACGACAGTGCTTATACTAGTAAAAAAAAACGGTCTCGATGCCCTGCACGTGGTCAGCATATGTGGTGCTGTATATTGCTCACATATAAAGTACGAAGCACCCACAATTTAATAACAATATGTGTATGCATGTAATACTTGGCGGTAAACACTTGACACTGCACATTTTGCGGGATCAACGACTCTTGTAATTTCGTACTTAGCAAAAACTTGCAGAATAGGATGATACGTCATTGAAATCGGTGATCACGTGACACTTGTAGCCTGACTATATTTACGAAATCGAAAATATTCAATCTGTCATTCTTTTTGTAAATTAACCCTCACTGAAAGATGACTTTAGAAAGTGGAAGTTTAAAATTGTAATTTAAATCGTCATTGTTTCAATGACACATTGAAAAGTTAATCTTATATGAACTTATAGATAATCTCATTTGATATATAAACAGCGAATAAAAGTCGTAATCATTGAGCTGTCACTTCGAATTAAGGTAACAAGCGAATATCCACTAACTGGTAATGTTAATTTTCTATCAACATCGAACGCTATCCGAAAAACTATCGCATAATACACACCCTAAGCACACTAGAACACACTGACACAATTCCCCCCACTCCTAAATCCCTATGGAAAATAAAAGAAAGAAGTACCTTATAGAACGAGTGTCTGCATCTTCTACAAATGCCTAACGATCGCAGATGAATTTCTTTGTTAATCCATGGCAACCAAAGATCGTATCTCGATAAGATGACGTGTTTCGACCGGCGTTTTTTACATGTCGGACACTGTTTTTTTGATTTGTAATAAGTTCTCTTCGTTACTTTCGCGCCAGATCGAAATATCCTTCTCGATGTACCAGCACTACTTGTCCGTTGGCGACTGTAGCGATACACTGACTCGTTGGATCCTGGAACCCTTAATATTTGGTGGGGGCGCGTGTTTCCACAAGGTACAAGCAATCCACTTGAACTCTGGCCTCTAATTGGTTGCATATTGGTCACGGTTGACTTTGAGCGAATGGAACTGCGAGGCTGCAGGCGTCTTGAGTTATCCGCACGTTTTTACTTCGGTATTTATCGCCTGAGACGATAGAACTGATTATTAAGCATCCTATCGCGTTACAGTTTTGTCTTCGTTTCGCCCCTGTCCGGTGTTCAATTACGCTTACATTCTTTGCCGATTGCAGATCTGCAAAATATACCCCGGCACATACCGGAGTCTAACGGCAAATATATTTGAATGTTGACTACGCAATATTTTCTGCTGCATTCTACACCTTTTTAGAATATAATGTTTCGTAAAGATTTTGTATTTACTGATCCTTGATTTGTTAAAGTTTAAATATTCTGTAAATGGTCTGTAACTTATTAGTCTAGCTGGAATGTGTACATATATTGACCTTGCGCAGGAACCCCAAATCGTTTCACGGTATTAGAGTACTGTTTATATACAACAGATTTGAGTGTTTATATTCTATACGTTTGTATAACGTACCATAGTAATCTGACTCCTATGGTGAAAAAAGTATTTCCATACAGAATCAGTTCTGACGTCAGGAATGTTATAAAGTGTTTACTCTTGCGAGAGTAATAATTATTATAAATTATACAGTACATGTATAATTTTAAAATTGAAGAATGTCATTAGATTTTAGTAATTTATAATTGAGTCTTTGGCAATATAGGTTATATACTTTAATAAGTTTACCCTCTGTGCCGTGTACATTGTTATAACACGATAAAATATAATATAATCATACACAAATAATATTATAATTCTAAATTCATTAACAAAGCGCTAGCGTGCGAATTACGAGATCAAATCTTCTGGAGAAAATATAACTAATCATCTTCATTGATTAACTTCTCGTAACTGAAGCGAAAGTAAATGTTACCTCGATGCTAAAGTATCCTTGGGTGTGATCTTTTAGTTTGGGCAACCTGTCGATTAAACAAAAAAAAATTATTAAATTAAGGTCTTGCGAAAAATTTTCAAATTCGCGAAGAAAATAATTTTGTTAAAACTAAAAGCTGCTTCGTCTGCGATGCACATGTTGAAGCAAACAAAAATTCACAATGAGGTTAAAGAGACCATCGTAGCAGTGAAAGCTATAGTGTCCGAAGATTTACAATAGTGGAAATAAGGGGGTTACGTTTTAGTCATGTCTGGAAACACTCACTTTCGCTAACTGTCCTTCATGTCCACGTGCAGGAACCTTTTCTTACATTTTAATTTTAAAAAGGTAGAAAGAATAACATAAATACTTCTAATTGCGTTTTTAGAAAATAAAAAATGAGAAACTAAGTCATACCGGTTATGTCTTATTTTGCGACTTATGGTCTCGTCTACCAAGGTGAATAACCGATAAAATTATAATAATAATAACAACCAAGAAAACTGCTACGGATATTGACCACTGTATCACTTTAAGAGTCATCCTATATGTTTTTTTATTTTCCGCTTACTTTCCATTCCCTATTTTTTTTAATTTCTATATGTCAAACATGACAACGTACATACGTTTAAATTAATCAATTTCGATTTTTTTAAAGATCGTTGATTGTTTCAGTAACATTTGCAATGTCTGTTTTAGGAAAAAAAGGAAGAAAAACTTTACATTGTGAAAATGCCACCAATAACGCAAAAGGAAAAAACAAAAATAAAATTATCCTTAAAGAAATCAACTTAAATACTGAAATTATAATAATAAAATTGTTAACTAATGTTAACATGACAAATAAATAATATAATTTACAATTTTACAAAATTTTTAATTAAAAAATATCATATGTCGATATTAAATTGATAACGCGATAGATAGTGACATCTAACAGAAAGCAACGTAAACTTTATGAACCATGCTGAAGAGACAATGCATTTCTGTTATTGTCAGTACGTTCAGTGACAACAACCTGATAAATTATAATTAAAAGAAAACAATATTTTGCTTTAATGAACGTACGATTAATTAATTAGAACTACATGTTATAATAATTAATATATTTACACGCTAAGATCGGTAAGCGATTCGCAAACATTTGTGATTTGATTGTAACAGAAACAACATAACCTTTCCTGCTCTTTTCCCCGTTTATTTGAATCGTTTTATTTAATTTTTGTATTAATTTACACTTTGATATAATTCATATGTTTGTGAATAATCTAATTAAGTAATACTGTTCTTTTAGTTCTATTGCGATCATGCGTCTGGAAATAAAATAGAGTTTTAATGGGAACACAAGGGTAAATTATAAAAAGGTGGAAAGGATGCCGAGTTGCGGTGGTCTGTTCAGAATCATTAGACGCCGCCTTGTACTTGGTTTGATCTTTGCTTTGTCTCTCACCTACTGTGCTTTTTCTCTTTTTCGAGACCAGGTAACTCCAAGTTGTTAACATCAATTTTTAGCTTTGTGATTTAAAAAATAATATTATGTTATTTATAGAAAAACTCTTTACCCTTGGACAATGATCTTGACGACATGGACCCTATGATTATCAATGACAATAACGATGACTTAATCTCAGATGATGATGCATTGTCAGAACAGTTGAGAGCATCTGGCAAACCATCATCGTGGCAAATGGCAATTGATCAAGGAGCAAATGAAAATGCATTAAACATAGATGTAATGTCGAATCTGAATGACACTGATACAGTGGTTCATCCATGTCGTAATTCTGTACAGGTATATTAAATTCATGCATGCTCATATAGAACTGATAATTAAATGTATTTAAATTTTGTTAATCTGATAGGGCAAAGTTCTGATAGTAGATGAACGTGGTATCGTATGCTCCAGACAAGATATTCTACCAAATGGTTGCTGTAACATAGATCAAAAGGATCCCACAAAAAATGAAGATACATCAACTGTAACTAAGAGCGAGAGGTACAGTTGTAAAACTTGTAACGCTCAAGGGTGCTGTGCAATTTATGAATACTGTGTCTCTTGCTGCCTACATCCTGGCAAGGTAGTTGTCACACTTCTTAATCTGTTCATAGAATAAGAAAGACACTAACGAGACATTATTATTAACAGCAAATAAAGGGAAGGAAGGATGTGCTATTAGGTTTACTTAGAGACAACCACAAGGCACACAAGGACCAGGACGCGGTGAAGAAGCGTCTACGCAATTTAGACCGTTTTCAAGTTTGCTTGGCTGCGTGTCGTACTTCCAGTGCGAGTGTCCGCCACGAAAATACCTACAAAGATCCGCATTCGAAACATTGTTATACTCTTCAACTATCTCATCAAAGACACCGACGCGATGTTGACAATAATAATGACGACAACTCTGTTGTCATTGCATCTTTTTCTGTCATGCCGTTACTTACCCTCCTCTCTCCTTTCTGCCTAATCTCGCGTATAAACAATGATTCACTTCTATTATCGTGCAATTATCATACTCCAATGTCATTTAATTATTACTCTCACGTACAACCACCTTGAAATATAAATTACATTCAACGTATTGGTGAATATTTTCATGGGGTTTATGCCCCATTTAGTCATATAAGGAGTGACACTTTTAAGAAATTATTTTCCTAAATAGGTTCTTTTCAATTTACAATAATTATTTAGCTTCTTTGAGTTAAAAGAAAGTGCAACGAAAGGGGTGTCGTCATTCGCCCTATTTTTCGTTTACCTTTTAAAGTAAGAGAAATCTACATTGCACCCAAGTGTACTTTGCAAAATGGAAGCTTTTCATATTCAACAATGATATTAGAATTGCTGAATGTTGGCATATTCAACGGTCGCCGAGGATTTTCTGCCCAACGTATTTGCAGAAAATACGATGTAGTTTATATCTTGCAATTTGAGAATCGATGTTTCGTTCTTTACGATATACACTTCGACTATCCCATTGGAGCTTCGCCAACCACAGTGCTGTTGAACCTGAAAACATGATTCCGTTCTAACTATACGTTGTAACACGATATCCAAACACGGTTTAATTTATTCGAAACTGAATTTTATTTTGTTTTTTGTACTTAGAAAATATATTTGGAGTTTAAGCTGTTGCACGAATGTTTAAATGGTAAGACTCATTTCAGCGATGAATTATTTAGATTTCGAACTGATGCTATATGGTTGAATTATCAATCGAACGGTATGTTTGCTTGCATTGATTGCGGACAATAAATTCACCGGAATATCACGATAGCCATATTTGTCGAATTTTTGGACGTGCGTTATTTACACGGCTGTGTATTTAAATTTCAGCTAGTTTGATCCACGTTAATTACATTTGCATTCTGTTTCCACTAAATTTTACGGAAATGTAGAAATAACGATTTATGATGTATGAGTCCATTTTATCTATGACAGAAGCATCTTCGATATCGATGCTGTAAACATGTTTGCCGGTGGTCTGATACTATCTTTCTGCGCCGTCTACATCCTAGATTAAATCGAGATTGTTTTACAAAGCAAGAAAAACAACTTCTAATTTAGCTCCACTTTCGAAAAATTTTACAGACGTCGACCTTAATTTTCTTCAGCCATGAATATTTCTGCTTGTTCAAATACTTATAACCAGTGTAAATGAACGTAGTAAAAGTATGATTATTCAAACATCTGAAAATAATGTTAATTTTCTCGTAAATCTTCGTTTTTACCGCGGAATATTAAGCTTTTATTGACTCTTATGAGTCAACGAACTTCGTGTTATCTTTATGCTTCGACGATGGAAGATATTTCTTCGCCCTCCAGAATCTTTTGATTCTTTTAATAGTGATAACTGGATATTTACGCGATTATATCTAGCTGGAACGTGCAAAGCTTTTTAGGAGTTTCACAAATCTTCTAATGTTTTCACATATTTCACTCGAGTAGCTGATCGTCGTAAGAGGACTAAATTACTCGGAAAAGAAAACATTCGGTTAATTCTATGGAACCTGTGAGAAAATATGGTCAATTCGTAACTTCTATCTCTGTTCTAGAACTTTATCGTGTATCTATAGCACGACGGACGTTTTTAAATATACACGCTTTTTAATGTTCTTCCTGGTTTGCAAATATCATGGTTTCTATTTCCACGCGTAACACTTAAGAAAGAAAATCCAGCACGATACCGGGTTTATTTTTATTCTACACCCCCAGCTTTTTTCATCGATTGAATCTTCCGTTTTGCTATCGTGCCAGTCTCATGAATTTCCAGAAGAGGATCCGAAAAACGCGGTCTAGGATGTTCGCATTGCAAATGGAGAAGGGGATCGTTTTTGCAGTTGTTTGCAGGATGGATCGGGGACAACGGAGAAACTCGGAAGACACGGAAAATCGAATTGCAGGGACATCTGATGAACGGGTCGGGGCTCATTTCCATAACTCGCCCGTTGGGAAACCATAACGTTGCGAAAACAATTAGTTAATGGGACACGGACAAAGTTTACGCCACGATCGAGTTACCGTTTAATAGAGTCAGAGCATTTTAAACTTATCGCCGGGAATAGATCAGCCTATTGTACGCAACTTAGTGTCGAGAACTACTCGCCCTCGTAAAGGGTTGTAACCCTCTTCTATGGAACTGAAATTCGATTTGCACCAGAAACGTCGATCAATCCTGAAAAATTTCTTTGTTGAATTGTTACAACTTTTCTATAGTTTCACTTGACACGAGATCCTCTGTCAATAGATATGCGACGTCACTCCTCAACATTCTCAACACCGCTTCAATAATTTTTTAATCGTGTGAATGGTTTTTAGAAAAAAAATCCTGACACAGTTGAGCTCAGGAGTCGCAAAAATTTATTTTCTCAAACAAGGTGGGAATTTTCAACATGGATAAAGAACAATTTCATAAATTTTCAGCATGAGTCGGGAAATGGTAGGAATCGTTGTCGAGGACGTCTATTCACAAATAACATGTAAGGTCAAATGAAATCGGACGTAAAACGTTTTCGAGTCAACACGTTCTTACAAATTTATTGACAACTTTGATCTTCGTCCTGCGTTTTCAATGCCTCCCTCTGTTTATGCTTTAACGTCAACTGTGTTTTAAAACGCGGTTTACGAAGGTGGATTCTTTGAAAGATGTCCCAGACGTAGAGCTAGACAAGAACTGAACACGATAGACAAAATAAAAAATTTATTTAAAAGACCTCGAAGTATAGCAAAGTTGCACCTGTTTCGTTTAAATTTAAATTATTAAAGCTAGATTTTAAATTGGATTTCAACAGTTTCCCGAAGACGAGCTTTCGATGATTTATGCAACGAAATGTGCCAATAAACGCTCGGGATATTTACAATATTCATTGATGAGAAAAAGGACGACGCTATATTAAACTGCGTCTTCTCGTAAATCGTGCCAACGAATTCCATCGAACGTTTCGCATGTAAAAGGCAAAGAAATTACAACCGCAAGGGTGATCGGCAACGAATCGGGAATGCGAGCAATGCAATAAATTCTCGGGAAGATTTGCGAGTCCAAGACAGAAGCTTGCAAACACAGCTGCATCGAATTGCTGTTGCAGGGTTTGACACTTTCTCGGTGGTGGCTATTGCATTTAAAAAAGATTAAGAAGCAGATGAAACGGTATTAAATTGCGCATTCCAACCTGTTCGGATATTATTCTTCGGACAGTAAATTTATCTCTCGAGTCAATAATTGTGCATTACATTTATAATATGAGTAAGAATTTGCATTTTTAAAACTTTTATAATTGAACAAGACATTAAATGTTTGAGAGGTTAAAGACTTTACGAAATTGTTAGATAATTTAGTACAATATTTAAGATATTAACTGGTGTAAATTCTACTCTAAATTCTAAATTCTTTGAAGGTAAAATAATTTGTTGTTTTTCTATTTTTTTGTCTTTAATTTTTCAATTTATTTTTGTTACATTAGGAACAGCAACAAAGTATCTTTTATTTTTGCTAAGAATCTTTTGAAGCATCTAAGATTGATCGTCGATCGTTCCTCATACTTGCAATTCTTCTTTTTTCAGAGCATCGTTATGGAGGATTATGAGGTAATTTAATGATTTCTCGCCTTATGTTCCCATTTTTTTAACATCCTTTAGTCAGAGCTACCCTAGAATATGTGGGGCTCGGGGCATAACCCCACATTATTCTTGACGTCGTTGAGGTTGTAGCAATGCAGAGGTCCGAACTTTTATCTTGAAAGTTTGCAAGACCATTTTTAAAATTTGGGAACTCGCGATTCTGAAGATTTCGTATTTTATAATCTGAGAATTTGTGATTTTACAAATTTGATATTTTACAACCTGAAAATTTGCAAACCTAAAAATTTAATATTTTACAATTTGATATTATTTGATAATATTTTCAAGTTTCAACTTGATGAACCTAAAGTCTGAAATTAAAAAATTTGTGATTTTCAAGTTAAGTTTAAAAATTTGAAAGTGTCCTATTTGCCGAAGGCTACTGTTTTAATACCGTGGATCTAATGAAGTGTATCTTCTCAGAAAACTCCTGATGTTGCATTATACAATTGGTCATTGATCATCCCTTGGGGTTGCAATTTCTTCCTTTGAAAAGCACCGTATTCATTAGATAAAATACGAAACGACGCAATTTAATAATCCACCTTCTGTTCCCTTTTTAAAAACTCGTATTCGTTGCAATGAATTATGAATTCCGGGCAGATCCAATTTAATGGCGAATCGTCTTTCTTATTTTTTTCCGATATGATCCTTCATCGCTATGGAAGGTGTCAAAGTGTGCAATAACGACAGGGTCAAATTTAGCTTCTTCTGTTCTTGCACGTAATCTTTTGTAGTGCTCGTACACGCGATTGCTCGTCGATCATCCCTTGGGATTGTAATTTCTCTTTTTTATGGAGCTTCATATTCCTTGTAGCGGATTATGAGCATATGTAATTTAATGATGCGTCGTTTCCTATTCTTCCTTTCCTCTTTGTATAATTTCTCGTTAACGTGAAAACCGTCGAGGTGTGTAATAATAATTTGATGAAAATTTCTATTCTTGTTCCAGAATCTCTTGCATTGTTTGTGCACGCGATTGCTCATCGATCATCCCTTGTGGCGTATTCACTCAGCGAATTATTAGAATTAGAAGACGGTTTAACCTTACACTCTTTTTTGTATTTCTGTTTTACTAGGTAAATCATTTCTTACAATTTAATTTTTTTTTGTTTGAATCTTCTTTGCATGACTTTATAATATGTGATTGCTTATACGTATGATCGTTTATACATAACATATGATATTTTCCTCTTAGTTGGACAAACATGTGACAGTTGAAGAGTGCAAATAAATGAAGCTGTAAGTGCTATTAGTTTTTGCATGATTATTTATAACACATGAGTGCTTATACATAACATATGATCGTTTACGCATAACATATGATCGACTACATTCAACATTTTCCTCCTAGTTGGACAAATATGTGACAGTTGAGGGGTGCAAATAAATAAATCTGTAAATGTTATTATTTTTTGCATGATTATTTATAACACATGATTGCTTATACATAACATATGATCGTTTACATATAACATATGATCGACTACATTTAAC